GGTCGCGTCAACCCGGCAACCCGCCGGATCGGGTCCGGTTCGGATTTCCGACTTGTTTATCTACTCGGGTCGGGTTAGGGTCGACTCGTTTGAACCCGGGTCAGTTCCGTGTTCGACCCGAACCCGACCCATGACCCGAAATTGACACCCCTACTCAAAGGACTGCATACTAGAGCTCATCCCAAGAGAAAATGATTCGAATTAGTTCAAATTAGAACATGAAATTAAATCTTAATTCGAATATGGCCCAAACATATATGTTTGAACTAACTAATGTCACCGAAGCTCATTGAGCTGGCACCGCATAATTACAATGTAATTAGATTTTGTGATGGGAGTTTATAGACGAGATCAACGAACCTCGCTGTTGCTGACACCGAGGGATCGCAACTATAGTTAATTGTTGGTTCGGTAAGATAAAAATTGCAAAACGGGCACGTGTGATGGAATGCTTGAATCAAGTTTGAACTCATTGAACTTTTTATTCGAACCTCTTTTGAACAATGTTCAAATTTGAATCGGTTTAAATTAAATTTGTTTTCGATGGATTTCAATAAGCATTTCGTGTATGAAAAGAAAAAAAAGATAATTTGAACTAAAGTGAACTTTAAGATAGGCTTGTTCAAGAAAATTTAGAATAAACTTATTTTTATCATCTCTTTATGAGGCATATATAGTCAAATTTCCCATTAAAAAATTATGGGTCAAAATATCTTTGATACAAATATTTTAAAATTTAATATATATTTTTTAAAATTATAATATATTATTATCTATAAAATTTAAATTAAATTATATTTAACAAAAAGAGGATTTAACTTTTTAAATATCACATACCATGATTTAAACATATTATTAGAAAAATTTTTATTTATATTATTTTTAACTGTCGTCTTCCAAACCCATTGCCCATTTGGTAAGCTTTTTCAATTATTAAAATTATCATAGTCAACCAAAAATCATCTAAATGTCTCCCAACACTTATCGGCTCAAAAAGCAATTGTTTTGAATGTCTAACAGCACAT